ACAGTACTACAGTACTGTTATATTACTGTATTACAGTACTGTTATATTACTGTACTACAGTACTACAGTACTACTGTAATATAACAGTACTACAGTACTGTAATATAACAGTACTACAGTACTGTTATATTACAGTACCACAGTACTGTTATATTACAGTACTACAGTACTACAGTACTACAGTACTACTTGTGGATGGTTCCAGAGACGGTGAAGGAAGTCATGGAATTTAAACCCAGAATATTTCAGTTCTTTTGTTCTTGAAGAACCAGCTGATTTCCATCGGTTCTCAGTTCAGTTCTTCTGTGTTTAGTGCTGGTGTTGGAAGAACTGGAACTTTCATGGCTTTGGACCGAGTTCTGCAGCAGCTGGACTCCAAAGGAACCGTGGACCTTTACGGCTGTGTGTTTGATCTCCGCTTACATCGTCAACACATGGTCCAGACAGAGGTGACCCCCCCCCAATATTTACTGGTGATATACTGGTCACATGGCCCAGACAGAGGTGACCCCCCCCCAATATTTACTGGGCATATACTGGTCACATGGCCCAGACAGAGGTGACCCCCCCCCACCACTTACTGGTCATATACTGGTCACATGGCCCAGACAGAGGTGACCCCCCCCAACATTTACTGGTCATATACTGGTCACATGGCCCAGACAGAGGTGACCCCCCCCCAATATTTACTGGGCATATACTGGTCACATGGCCCAGACAGAGGTGACCCCCCCCCAATATTTACTGGTGATATACTGGTCACATGGCCCAGACAGAGGTGACCCCCCCCCAATATTTACTGGTGATATACTGGTCACATGGCCCAGACAGAGGTGACCCCCCCCCACCACTTACTGGTCATATACTGGTCACATGGCCCAGACAGAGGTGACCCCCCCCCAATATTTACTGGGCATATACTGGTCACATGGCCCAGACAGAGGTGACCCCCCCCCAATATTTACTGGTGATATACTGGTCACATGGCCCAGACAGAGGTGACCCCCCCCCAATATTTACTGGGCATATACTGGTCACATGGCCCAGACAGAGGTGACCCCCCCCCACCACTTACTGGTCATATACTGGTCACATGGCCCAGACAGAGGTGACCCCCCCCCAATATTTACTGGTGATATACTGGTCACATGGCCCAGACAGAGGTGACCCCCCCCCAATATTTACTGGTGATATACTGGTCACATGGCCCAGACAGAGGTGACCCCCCCCCAATATTTACTGGTGATATACTGGTCACATGGCCCAGACAGAGGTGACCCCCCCCCAATATTTACTGGGCATATACTGGTCACATGGCCCAGACAGAGGTGACCCCCCCCCCAACATTTACTGGTCATATGCTGGTCACATAGTCCAGACAGAGGTGGCCCCCCCCCCAACATTTACTGGTCATATACTGGTCACATGGCCCAGACAGAGGTGACCCCCCCCCAATATTTACTGGGCATATACTGGTCACATGGCCCAGACAGAGGTGACCCCCCCCCACCACTTACTGGTCATATACTGGTCACATGGCCCAGACAGAGGTGACCCCCCCCCAATATTTACTGGTGATATACTGGTCACATGGCCCAGACAGAGGTGACCCCCCCCCAATATTTACTGGTGATATACTGGTCACATGGCCCAGACAGAGGTGACCCCCCCCCAATATTTACTGGGCATATACTGGTCACATGGCCCAGACAGAGGTGACCCCCCCCCAATATTTACTGGTGATATACTGGTCACATGGCCCAGACAGAGGTGACCCCCCCCCAATATTTACTGGTGATATACTGGTCACATGGCCCAGACAGAGGTGACCCCCCCCCAATATTTACTGGTGATATACTGGTCACATGGCCCAGACAGAGGTGACCCCCCCCCAATATTTACTGGTGATATACTGGTCACATGGCCCAGACAGAGGTGACCCCCCCCCAATATTTACTGGGCATATACTGGTCACATGGCCCAGACAGAGGTGACCCCCCCCCAATATTTACTGGTGATATACTGGTCACATGGCCCAGACAGAGGTGACCCCCCCCCAATATTTACTGGTGATATACTGGTCACATGGCCCAGACAGAGGTGACCCCCCCCCAATATTTACTGGTGATATACTGGTCACATGGCCCAGACAGAGGTGACCCCCCCCCTGACCACAGTGCTACAGCTAGCTATTAGCTTCTGACAGTTGTCACATGAATGTTCTTGTGTGTGTGTGTGTGTGTGTGTGTGTGTGTGTGCAGTGCCAGTACGCCTTCTTGCACCAGTGTGTGCGGGACGTTCTGCGGGCCAGGAAACATCGCAGTGAACAGGAGAACCCTCTCTACCCCATCTACGAGAACTTCCACCCTGAGCGCTGTCGTGGTGAGAACCACCCCAACCAGAGGAACCTCGCTGGAGAACCCAGAGTCTGAGTTCCCTCTCTTCCCTGCAGATTACATGTTGACTGGACACTGACGTGGGGCGGGGCGTCTGAAGGATCCACCAATGAGAGGGGGCAGAGGTGACACACCATGACATCATCACCTTCATCTTCATCACGTCATGTCAAACAGACGGATGACATCATCGATGTCATCCGTTCTGACAGGGTCACTCCACTTTATAAGCTGTTTATTTAAAAACAAAACAACAAGTTCACATATTGCTGTATGTAAATATCGATGTATGACTTTGACAGTATCACAGATATACGTAGAAATACTACTTGTTACCTTTTAGTCATTATTTTAATATTTCCTCATTTACAAAAGCTAAACATCATTATTTATGGTTATAAATATATATATACATATACATATATATATATATATTGGGGTGTTACAAAGTATCCACACTGAAGTATCTCCTGATCCCAGATCAATGTCCTCAGTCGTTGATCAGTCATTGATTTTTTCCAATATTCCTGGTGTTGGTTCATGTTCTTCTTCTTTTCTTTCTTCTCTGGTGATTCCAAATGTAGATCCCTCTGTTCCAGAGTTAGGAACTGATGTTCACATGGAACAGAGTCTGAGACTAGGATCACACTGGGGGGGGGGCAGAGTCTGAGACTAGGATCACACTGGGGGGGGGGCAGAGTCTGAGACTAGGATCACACTGGGGGGGGGGCAGAGTCTGAGACTAGGATCACACTGGGGGGGGGGCAGAGTCTGAGACTAGGATCACACTGGGGGGGGGGCTCAATATATGTGACTGTAGTATCACAGTATATCACAGTACATCGTAGTACATCGTATCGTTGTATCGTGATAAAATTGTATCGCCAGATTCTTGACAATACACACCCTAATATATGTATATACAGTATATATAAATATATATAAATATACAGACGTATATAGTATATGTAGCTCCATTTGTATTACTGCTGTTCAAATACTGTGTGTTTGATTGTGGACCAGTTCACTGTCATTCATCTGTTGAGCTGTTTTTATAAATCAACAATTTGGAGAAGTTGAACTTTGACCATTGGTTATCAAACAACCGAAGAACTGCACGGTCAGCAACACTGGAGCTCTGAGCTACTGTAAACAACAACAACAAACAAAACAACAACAGTTTAAATCAATGAGTCAAATGTTTTTCTTCTTCTTTGTTTCACTGAAAAAATACAAATAAAAACCTCTGTGTTGATTAAAGTCTGTTGATTTACTTAGACTACTGCAGTACTGCAGTTCAGTAGTACTGTAGATCAGTAGTACTGTAGTACACCGTTTTCAGAGATGATGAAATCAATCTAAAAATCTACAGGACAATGGTTACGGTTGTGTTGTGTTCAAGTTCATCGGTTTTTTTTAATTCCTTCCTTAGTCTTTTTAATAGCTCTTGGTGGTTGTTGTAGCGCCGCCAAATTGTCATTTGTAGTTGTGGATTTGTGGATTTTTGTAAAAAACAAAAACAAAAACATATGTTAATGTGACAGTAATATTTGGACTTAAAGTGACGTCATCCGAGGAGAAAACTTTTCTCTTAAACTAACGACGGCTGCCTGTCAATCACAGCGACGTGTTTAAAGAGCCGCGGTCACGTGCATCACTTTAAGTGTGTGTTTTCAGCCTAAAGCTCCTCAGTCTGGGTCGTCACTCACGACAGTGACGTCAGAGCGAGCTGTCACTCAAACTTCAATCCACTCTCCCCACGGAGCAGCAGCAGCTGAACGTCGTGCGTCATGTTCCACACTCCGGTCCGGAAATACATCCCGACTCGCTGCTCGGTCACAGACGGGGTTCCGTTGACAGTGCAGCCGGTTCACGTCCACAGAGCCGCGGTGTCGAGCTACGACTCTATGGAGGCCACGCTACCGGAGACCAAGATGCGGCTCTCCAAAGCCAACAAGGGCGCTGCCGTGGTGCGCGCGGTGCGCAGACACCCGTCTCCTCAGCCCGTCAGTCTGGAGAGTCTGGAGGAGGCCTGGAGCCGGGCGGAGGTGCGGGCCGGTCCAGAGCAACAGAGACTCGGGGCAGATTCTCCAAGGAGCGCCCAGGTCGGGGGAGCAGGTGAAGGAGGAGGAGGAGGCGCACCGAGGAGCAGGAGGAGAGGATTCAGACCTCCCGATGTCAGGACCATCTTCTCTCCTTCAGACCGAGACCCGCGGGTGAAGCAGGAATCAGGAGAAGGTCACAGTTTTCAGACCGGAAGAGGAAACTCCTGGTGTGACGTCTGCTGCGATTACATCTTGCAGGGGGGGTTGACGTGTACAGGTGAGAGTGATGATGATGATGATGATGATGATGAAGATGAAGATATTAACCCTAAACAAACAATCTTTTCTTCCTTTGTTATGAACAAACTATGTTTGTTGTACCCAGTCCCTGGTCCCAGTCCCTGGTCCCAGTCCCAGTCCCCGGTCCCAGTCCCAGTCCCAGTCCCTGGTCCCAGTCCCAGTACCAGTCCCAGCCCCAGTCCCAGTCCCAGTCCCAGTCCTTGGTCCCAGTCCCAGTCCCTGGTCCCAGTCCCAGTCCCTGGTCCCAGTCCTTGGTCCCAGTCCCAGTCCCTGGTCCCAGTCCCAGTCCCTGGTCCCAGTCCCCGTCCCTGGTCCCAGTCCCTGGTCCCAGTCCCCGTCCCTGGTCCCAGTCCCTGGTCCCAGTCCCAGTCCCTGGTCCCAGTCCTTGGTCCCAGTCCCAGTCCCTGGTCCCAGTCCCAGTCCCCAGACATGTTTTCATTCTAACCAGTTGTAGACCAGACTCTCAGAGACCCTGGTCCAGGATCCAGATCCAGGTCTGGACCAGTGATTTCATCTGTTATGTAAATATACAACTGTTCAGAACCAGAGTGTCAGACCAGGTGACCTACCAGGTGACAGACTCGTCATTAGACCCTCTGGGCAGGGCCAGGATCAGAGGACATGGCGTGTTGTCCTCTGATAGGAGAGGGCGGGGCAGGGCGGGGTGGTCACTGAGTCACAGCTCAACGACTGGAATGTTGTTGGAATGAAGAAGAACTGGTTCAGAACCAGAGAGAGACCTGAGGAGCGTCACAGTCCAGGAGGAGGCTCTAAGGTTCTCAACCTGGGGGACTGAACCAAACATGTGACATAGACTGAGGGGAAAACAGGATTCCTATGACCTTTGACCTCTAACCATAACTACATTTGACCTCCTCTCTCCATAGGTTGTAAATACACGTGTCACTCTCTGTGTCGAAGCCGAGTCTCACTGGACTGTACCGGTTCAGCCTTCGGTCCGGACCAGGTGAACAACAACAGCACCAACGACCAGGTGAGGAAGGGGTTCGACAACACAAAGCAGTTTAATGTAATGGTATATTTTACCACACGATGGCGCCACGACGACACAAGAGGCTTATGCTGTCACCATTAAAGTGACGTCACGGTACAAGCGCGCACACGCGTGTCCCTTCAAGAATTCTTTGTTGGATTCGATTTAAACACGACGAACGTTTCATTTTAATCGATGTTTTTATTTGTGTTCAAAGACCAAGGAATTAATGTGAAACATTAATTCATTTTATTATCGAATAATCGAACTCTTAACATTTAATACATGTATTAATAACACGCAGTATTATAAATATCTTTAATTCAGAGTAAATGCCTCGGTTTTGTTTGGGTGTCAACTTTCTATAGGCGGAGCTTCACTGAATCCTCGACCTGCAATTGGCTGCTGCCTGTGGTGGGCGTGGCCTGAGTGTGAGTCGTTCATGGAGGCAGACGCGAGTCGAACGAGGAGCGAAGTTTTTCATTGTTTTTTTTGTCCAAATTGGCGAAAAGGACGGAGTTTTGAGTGGATTTGTTTGGCGGACGTGACGTTTAGCTTCACGTCTCAACAGTGACAACGTTTAAATGACGTAAATGACGTAGAGAGTGTCGCGTGTGGCCAGAAGAAAAGACGCTCGAGCGGATTAGAATCAGGAAACAGCGACTCCCCGACGGAAGAGGCTGGCTTTAACTAAAGTTAACTAAGTAACCAACTAACTAACGCTAACCCGCTGTTAACTGGTCTGAACCCCCTTTAAACCGAGACGAACCCGGATCAAACTGATCCGGTTTTGGTCAGAACACTTTTAATGCGGACCGGTTGGACTGAATCTGTTTTCTTCACCAATGACGTGGACGAGCACAAGCACGAGCACGATGAGCAGCGGCTACAGTAGTTTAGAGGAAGACACAGAAGAGTTTTTCTTCACAGCCAGGACCTCGTTCTTCAACAGAGCGCCCCCTAGGAATGCTGTCAACAAGGTAAAGACCAGGCGGAGTAACTGACAATAAATACGAACCCCTTGTTTCGGAAGGCAGGGAATCAAACCGCAAACCTCAACCACGCGCATCGTTCCCAAAACTAAATCCCTGCAGTAAAACTGTAGTATTCTCCATTCCTACTGCATGACTACACGGCCTGTGTGTGTGTGTGCGTGTGCGTGTGCGTGTGTGTGTGTGTGTGAGGAGTCACTTCCTGCTGCTGTGTGTTCATAAGATTTGACTGAAGATCAGGTTAGTTAGCGGCTAACAGCTAACGATGCTAATGTGCAAATGGAATTATTGGACTATTAGCTGTTGATTAGCATCTCTGCTGGAGCAGACTGAGAGTTAATGATGATGATGATGACGACGACGATGATGTCATCAGACTGATTGCTTCTGTCTTCCCAGCCTGTGGTCCAGGAGTCCAGAATAGAGCTGAGCAGAGAAGAAATCAAACTGAAGATCCAACACTACAATGCACTGACCACGGATCACCTCAAGATGACGCTGGTGAACAGTAAACCCACAGACACACCGACTGTGTCCAGCAGCAGCTGTCTGACCCCTGAACCTCTGTCTCTCTGTGTGACAGGGTCCGTCTGGGGTCTACACTGGTTTTATCAAGGTGCAGATGGACCTCAGAAGACCAGTGACAGTGAGAGGAGGACGAGGAGGAGGAGGAGGAGGAGGAGGAAGAGGAGGAGGAGCAAAGATGGAGGAGGCGTTTTTCTTACCACGAGGAGCCATCAAGACTCTGCACATCAGCTCCAACAACACTGTGGCTTCTTTTTCTTTCGGCTTTGTCCCTTTTTCAGGGGTTGCCACAGCAAATCATTGATTTCCATCTCTCCCTGTTCTCTGTATCTTCTACTCTGACTCCAACTACCTGCATGTCCTCCCTCACTGCATCCATATATCTCCTCTTTGGCCTTCCTCTCTTTCTCCTACCTGGTAGCTCCATCTCTAACATTCTTCTACCAATGTATCCACTGTCCCTCCTCTGCACATGTCCAAACCATCTCAATCTGGCTTCTCTAGCTTTTTCTCCAAACCTTCCTGTCTGTGTTGTCCCTCTAATGACCTCATTCCTGACCCTGTCCATTCTTGTCACTCCTAAAGAGAATCTTAGCATCTTTAACTCTGCCACCTCCAGCTCCTCCTCCTGTCTTCTGCCTATTGCTACTGTCTCTAAACCATACATCATGGCTGGTCTCACCACTGTCCTGTAAACCTTTCCCTTCACCTTAGCTGACACTCTTCTGTCACAGATCACTCCTGACACTTTTCTCCAGCTGTTCCATCCTGCCTGTACTCTATTCTTCACCTCTCTTCCACAGTCTCCGCTGCTCTGAACAGTTGATCCTAAGTACCTAAACTCCTGCACCTTCACCACCTCTGCTCCTTGTAGCCTCACTATTTCACTGTTCTGCCTTTCGTTTACACACATGTACTCTGTCTTGCTGCGACTGACCTTCATTCCTCTTCTTTCTAGTGCAAACCTCCACCTCTCTAGGTTCTCTTCTAGCTGCTGCCTACTCTCACTACAGATCACAATGTCATCTGCAAACATCATAGTCCATGGGGACTCCTGTCTGACCTCATCTGTCAATCTGTCCATCACCACAGCAAACAAGAAGGGGCTCAGGGCCGATCCTTGATGTAGTCCCACCTCCACTTTGAAGTCTTCTGTCCTCCCAACAGCACACCTCACTACTGTTGTACTATTCTCATACATGTCCTGCACCAAACTAACATACTTCTCTGCCACTCCTGACTACACTTTGTCACATGCCTTTTCTAAATCTACAAATACACAGTGGAGCTCCTTCTGACCTTCTCTGATCTTCTCTGTGGTCTGAAACCATACTGTTGTTCACCAATCTCCACTTCCTGTGTGTGTGTGTGTGTGTGTGTGTGTTTCCAGGTGATCGTGGCTCTGTTGAACAAGTTCACTGTTGCAGATAATCCAGCAAAATACGGTCTTTACAAACACTACAGGAGAGAGGAGCAGGGTGAGAGAGAGAGAGAGAGAAAGAGAGAGAGAGAGAGTGAGTGAGAGAGAGAGAGAGAGTGTGAGTGGGGGGGGGTTTGAACCCATAAATCCAGTCTCTGAAGAACAACATTTGAGGTTCTTTGAAGTTTTTCTACCTTTGATGTGGTTTCCTTAAACACTCTGTGTGTGTGTGTGTGTCCGTGTGTGTGTGTGTGTGTGTGTGTGTCCGTGTGTCCGTCCGTCCGTCCAGTGTACGTGTGTAAACTGTCCGACCTGGAGCAGCCGTTGTTCCTCCGTCTGATGTCTGGTCCAGATCCTGGTTCTCTGAACTTCGTCCTGAAGGAGCAGCCGACCGGAGACGTTCTGGTGACGATCTCTTCTTTATCACAACTTTATTAGTCAGTGGTGCACACTGGCCACAGGGGGCAGCAGTGGGTGAAGGTGAAGCAGTGTTTGTGTTCATTCCCAGTGGGAGGCCTTCTCCATCCCAGAGCTGCAGAACTTCCTGAGGATTCTGGACAAGGAGGAGGAGGAGCAGAAGGAGGCGCTGATCCACCGCTACCAAAGCTACAGAAGGAGACTGCAGGAGGCGCTGTGCAGCAGCCGGGCTTCTGCCAACAGAGTTTGATCTGAATTTTATTCTCCTGAAAACCAAAGATTGACAAAGTTTTGGTCAAAATCAGCGTTTTTTTAACTTTATTTAATTTTTTAACATCTGTAAATATGTTTTTATTTATGATTTTATGGCTGATGCTTTAGTTTTAGGCTTTTGATCAACGGAGGCAGAGAAAACAAAAAATACTTTCAATGTTTGTTGAAAAAAATGTCAGGAGCAGAAAGTTCTAGAACAGACCGACCTGGAACAGACCGACTTGGAACAGACCGACCTGGAACAGACCGACCTGGAACAGACCGACCTGGAACAGACCGACCTGGAACAGAACTAAAGGAAGAGGAGAAACAAACAAAGTGAGAGGAAATTGCAGCACATTCTAGTGGTGGGTATGAGGAAGTGCACAGAATGGAGAGAAAGTAGAAACAAGAACTGGAGCTGTGTGTGTGTGTGTGTGTGTGTGTGTGTCGGGTAACACTGGGAGAACATAAAGAAAGTGTAGAACAACATGAGGCTGAAGATGCTGACGAATGGCTGACCCCGTGACCTTGGTGACCTCTGTCTTTACGGCCTTCAAACTTGTCGAATGGTGAATCAAGATGTTATAATAAGAAATTACGTATTTATGAAATTCTAAAACAAACCAAAGATTTTTTTCTTTTTTTTATACCTTTTTCATTATTTTCGCTGAAATAAGCTATAAAATTATTGATGCTTGTTGCAAAACAGTGCCACCTATGGCACAATCACTGACACTGCTGAGGAAAATTGCGTCGACCTCTAAACTGAACACAAACTCAAGGGTTCCTTTTATAAAATTCCTGTTCAGATGGATCGACTTGTGTTTTGGCCACGGTTCATATTTTTCTACCTGAAAGAAAAAAAGCACTGCTGACATTTAACGTCTGAAACTGTCGTTCACTGTGAAACTGTTAAAATGAACTGTTGGAGTCAAAACTGTCACGTTTGAAAAAGGGTTTTTTTTAACTGGTGTGAATAAAAAGTTGATTAAAAACCAACGTTTTTTTATTTAAACCTTTACTGAATTTTTAGGAAGAATGATTTTACAATAAAATCAGAAAAATCAACGCTGGCTTGCTGTTAACGTCCCCTGACCTCTGGCTGACCTCTGGCTGACCTCTGGCTGACCCCATATGTACGCCTGCAGACAAACTACAAAATAAAAGGTTCTTCAAATGTGAATCTAAAACGATTGTAAATTAAAATAAAACATTTAAGTTCATTCCAACAGATTTAACTTTCCAAACGGAAATTTTGTTTGGAAATTTTCTCCAAAAGTGGAATCATTTATTTCACCGACTCGTTGAGGTGAGAAGAAGTTTGACTTTTCCAGGCGTTGGAGCTGAACACTGCGGGTCGCCTGCTCTCCTACGACCCTTGGACAGGAAGTGTGAAGGTTTTACTGCACTCCCTCTACATGGCCATTGGCCAATGGCGTGGCTCTTTCACTGGAGGAGGACTTCCTGTTACTGGCTGAGACCAGCATTGGACGCATCCAAAGGTGATGTAAAGGTTCTTGGCAGTGTTGGAGCAGTGGGAATGATGATGGAGGACCAGGTGACCCAGACCAGGTGACTCAGACCAGGTGACCCAGACCAGGCGACTCAGACCAGGTGGCCGCGACCAGGTGGCCCAGACCAGGTGACCCAGACCAGGTGACTCAGACCAGGTGGCCCAGACCAGGTGACCCAGACCAGGTGACTCAGACCAGGTGGCCCAGACCAGGTGACCCAGACCAGGTGACCCAGACCAGGTGACTCAGACCAGGTGACCCAGACCAGGTGACTCAGACCAGGTGACCCAGACCAGGCGACTCAGACCAGGTGGCCGCGACCAGGTGGCCCAGACCAGGTGACCCAGACCAGGTGACTCAGACCAGGTGGCCCAGACCAGGTGTATGGCCCAGGGTCCTCTGTGCTGCTGATACTTCATCATTTCTGCTGAGTTTTTATAATGAAAACGAATGATTTGTGATTCATCCTTTTATTTTAAACAAACCAGTCAGTCAGTCAGTCAGTCGGTCAGTCAGTCAGTCGGTCAGTCAGTCAGTCGGTCAGTCAGTCAGCCTGTCGGTCAGTCAGACAGTCAGTCAGTCAGACAGTCGGTCAGTCAGTCAGTCAGACAGTCAGTCAGTCAGTCGGTCAGTCAGTCAGTCGGTCAGTCAGTCAGCCTGTCGGTCAGTCAGACAGTCAGTCAGTCAGTCGGTCAGTCAGTCAGTCGGTCAGTCAGTCAGCCAGTCAGTCAGCCAGTCAGTCAGTCAGTCAGTCGGTCAGTCAGTCAGCCTGTCGGTCAGTCAGACAGTCAGTCAGTCAGTCGGTCAGTCAGTCTGTCAGTCAGTCAGTCAGACAGTCGGTCAGTCAGACAATCAGTCAAAAACCAAACTGGACATTTTTTGACCAGTTGTTCATCCACAGTAACCCTTCTTCTTCTTCTTCTTCTTCTTCATCATCATCATCATCATCAAAAGTAACTCTAAAGTCAAAGAACTAAAATAAGAAAGAACACTACTAGACCTAGTCCACTTGGTGGCGCCCTCTCTCCAGTTTTCATGGTTGTGGGTTGAACATATTCAAAGTTAATTTTAATGTAAACATTTAAATGAAGACAAAGTTTCGCCTGGACGTCGTAGTTTAAGGTCGTCCACTGACTTTCTGACTAGTCTTAGTTTAAGGTCGTCCACTGACTTTCTGACTAGTCGTAGTTTAAGGTCGTCCACTGCCTTTGGAACTGCACAGATAAACAGGTTTCACTCCTCCTAGAAGGAAGGGAAAGAAACTTCCTGTAAAAGTTTAGCTTGTGCTCTACGTCACTTCCGGGACTAACAGCTGATTTTCCTGTGGAGTTTTCCAAACTTTTCTCATCCTGGAGAGAAGAAAAACTATTTAAAATTCAAGTTTAAAATCCGAGCGGACACGAGTGTGTTTTTGTTTTGAACTAACGTCAGATTCACGGCTAATGTCGCAGCTAAGAATAAACAGCAACCTTTTAAAAGTTGACATGAGTGACGTGTTATCCAGACCCGGACTTCACGACAACTTCTGCGGCTGTACTCCTGATCCAGGTTCCGGTTCTGGGGGTGAATTTGACGGACGGACTTTCTGCAGGACTTCCATTGTGGATCCTCTGCTGGTGGAGCTGTACGAGACCTGCAGCAGAAGAACCCTGGACAGCTGGGACAGTTCTACGGAGGCTTCTGGTTCTGACGCTTTTTTGGGCCGCAGTGGATCCGGGTCCGGATTCCTACAGGAGCTGCAGCTGAGGAACAGCCGGAGACTGCAGGTTCACTTCCTGCGGCAGAAAGGTCCGTTTTAGGAACTCTTTCAGATCCTGTTTCTTTTTGTCGTGTGTTTAATTCAGTGATTCAGTGTTGTTTTATTATTTAGTCGTTTATTTTGATCGACTCGGTCGACGTTTTCTAATCAAACACATTCGGTCTGATTTTCCTCACGTTCTCAGAACTCGAACAACTGCGATCCATCGTCCAGGAAGTGAAATATCGCACAAACCTGCAGTCGTTGAAGCTGATTCGTCAGTTGAAGAGACGAGATCGACTTTGTCACAAACTGCAGAAGAACTATGACGTCATCACCGCGTGTCTGCAGGCAGTCTCGCCAAAACGACGTAAGGTGTTTTTAAAATGTGTTTTTAATCTTACGGCACAATTTACGTCACAGGAAAAACCTGGATTTTAATCTGTATTGTATTGGTGATTCAATGATGACGTAATTTCTTTAAAACGGCTGGGATTAAAATTCTAAAGTTATAATAACGTTCGATTCTGGATCCACTTCATCGTCACCACCTCCTCCTGACTGACAAGCTCCTCCTGTTGGTTGGTCGGCAGAAGAGCATGTACATGAGGATAGAGAGCAGCAGCAGCAGCAGCAGCAGCAGCAGCGGTGACGGTGACGGTGACGGTGGTCTTTCTTCTTCATTAAATCCTGGATTTAACTCTGGTTCCGTTCGGAGCTGTTAGAATTCTCTGGTTCTGTTTTTCTTTTTCTTTGAATAAAAAACTGATGAAAATCCTGAGGAGATGGAAAGGAAACCAGATTTTCCCAAGATCTTTCTGACAAAGACGTGAAGGACAAGAAGAACCGGAAACAGGAGTCAGAATAACGCATTGTTTACTCTGGTTCCGGTAGAACCGTGTTCCGGTTCTAGGTTTTGTCTTAGTCGCGGTTCAGGATGCGACAGAATCAGAACCAGCATCATCATCAACCGCAGCAGCGCTGCTCCACCAGTAGGTGGCCGCGCACCGGAAGTCGTCAGCGACATCAAGAGGGGACGGGAGTGGGTGACGTAATTAGCGCCGTCCTGAAGAAACGGAACTGTATCTCCAGGAGTGCTCCCCGCCTGCTGTGTACTTTAGAGCCAGGTTACTACTACTACTACTAGTACTACTACTGCTGCTACTACTACTACTAGTACTAGTCTGACAACACTAACAGACTGTTGTCAGACTGTTGTTGTTTTAGTTAATTTTGGACTTTATATTTATAGAGACAGGAAATACAGAGCAAATAATTTTCAAATTATTTTATAAAGATTTCTTTAAATAAATCAATGATTTTACCTTCATAAAAACAATGATTCCAGGATCATGGTTCCAGGATCATTTTTCCAGGATCATAGTTCCAGGATCATAGTTCCAGGATCATGGTTCCAGGATCATGGTTCCAGGATCATTTTTCCAGGATCATAGTTCCAGGATCATAGTTCCAGGATCATAGTTCCAGGATCATGGTTCCAGGATCATGGTTCCAGGATCATGGTTCCAGGATCATTTTTCCAGGATCATTTTTCCAGGATCCATTTAAAGCTTATCGGCTCTGTTCTCCTGGAGAACGTTCATCTGGGTCAGAACCAGAACCAGTACTGAAGAACTGTCCTGAAGAACTGGTCTGAGTTCAGTTCTGTGTCCATTTAATCTGTCAACAGGAAGTAGAAGGTGTTACAGTGGTCCTCCCACAGGAAGTGAGGTTTTCTTCCTCTCTTAATCCTCTTTAAAGCTCTGACCACAGTGATGATGATGATGATGATGATGAAGGACGAAGGTTTCCACCACCTGACTCTGTCCCTGTCTCTGTCTTTCTGTCCTCCAGGAGTGGACACTCGGCTGAAGTTCACCATCCAGCCACTACTGGGAAAAAATGGATTCACACAGGTTAGTTAACGGTGGGTTAGTTAACAGTGGGTTAGTTAACGGGGGGTTAGTTAACAGGGGGTTAGTTAACGGTGGGGTAGTTAACAGGGGGGTAGTTAATGGTGGGTTAGTTAACAGTGGGTTAGTTAACGGGGGGTTAGTTAACAGGGGGTTAGTTAACGGTGGGGTAGTTAACAGTGGGTTAGTTAACGGTGGATTAGTTAACGGTGGGTTAGTTAATGGTTGTTATTTAACAGTGGGTTAGTTAACGGTTAGTTAGTTAACAGTGGGTTAGTTAATGGTTGTTAACTAGTCCATCATTTAGTTTAATAACCCATTAGTTAAGTTAATAAGTTAGTTGGTCATCTTACTGTCAGTCCGTGGGTTAGTGGCTCAGTGGCGTCCGTCTCTCTTCCTGCAGTGGTTCGATGCCCTCAAAGCCGTGGCCAGACTTCCCACTGGGATTCCAAAGGAGTGGAGGAGGAGGGTGAGGACTTTGGACATTTCTATCTGCTGATGTTTCCTTGTATATTTCTGTCTCTGAAGCTAACGATGCTAACCAAGCTAACTGAAGTGTAAATGTCCAACGCGCAGGTGTGGTTGACGTTAGCCGACCAGTATCTCCACTCCATCTCCATCGACTGGGACAAGACGCTTCGTTTTGCCTTTAACGAGCGCAGTAACCCTGACGACGACTCACTGGGGATCCAGATAGTCAAGGTCGGGGCGTCGTCGTCATCATCATCGTTACCTTCGTCATCAACAACATAACGTTAATTATCATTGTTAATTATCACCGTTAATTTATTCGTCACCAGAAGAATCATATTTTTATTTTCTGTGAAATATTATCAGAGCTAGAACGTAGAACATATCCACGTAACTGCGTCAGAGCTAGAACGTAGAACATATCCACGTCACTGCAATCTGTCGTTCTCCAGGATCTCCACAGAACAGGTTGCAGCTCCTATTCTGGCCAGGAGGGGGAGCAGGACCGCGTGGTCCTGAAGAGGGTGCTGTTAGCTTACGCTCGCTGGAATAAGAATGTGGGCTACTGTCAAGGCTTCAACGTCCTGGCTGCTCTGATCCTGGAGGTGACGGAGGGCGACGAGAGTGACGCCCTGAAGGTTAGCTAATCTGGTCTAATCTGGTCCAGATCAGACCAGATTAGCTAACCCTGATGGTTAGCTAATCTGGTCTGGTCAGTGAGCAGCAGATGACCAGAGGTTTGATTGAACTAAACACTCCTCGGTTTCAGCTCATGATCTTCCTGATCGACAAAGTTCTTCCAGAAAATTATTTTGCCAACAACCTTCGAGCTTTGTCAGGTGACCAGACACACACACACACACACACACACACACACACACACACACACACACACACACTGACTTTAATGTTGTCATGACATATTTGTCCTGTCTCAGTGGACATGGCGGTGTTCAGGGACCTGCTGCGACTGAAGCTGCCCCGTCTCTGGCAACATCTCCACCAGCTACAGAAGGCAGCAAACAGAGAAGCTGGAGGTAAAAGTGGGCGGAGCCGATGGAGCCGATGGAGCTGATGATTGGTGTTCAGCTTCACAGACCAGAGGCCCGTCTCACACTGCGGGGTGTGTGTGTGTGTGTGTGTGTTCTCTGTCAGGTAGCTACGAGCCTCCACTCACCAACGTCTTCACCATGCAGTGGTTCCTCACCATGTTTGCCACCTGCCTCCCCCCCCCCACCGTCCTGAAGATCTGGGACTCGGTTTTCTTTGAAGGCTCCGAGATCTTGTTCCGAGTGGCTCTGGTCATCTGGGAGAGACTGGGAGAGTAAGTCCCTGTCCCTGATGTTTGTTGTCCCCTGATGTCATCCTCTGATGTCGTCCCCTGATGTCATCCTCTGATGTCGTCCCCTGATGTCGGCCCCTGACGTCGTCCCCTAATGTCGTCCCCTGATGTCGTCCTCTGATGTCGTTCCCTGATGTCGTCCCCTAATGTTGTCCCCTGATGCTGTCCCCTGATGCTGTCCCCTGATGCTGTCCCCTGATGCTGTCCCCTGATGCTGTCCCCTGAAGTTGTCCCCTGAAGTTGTCCCCTGATGTCGTCCCCTAATGTCGTCCCCTGATGTCGGCCCCTGACGTCGTCCCCTAATGTCGTCCCCTGATGTCGTCCCATTCTCTCTCTGACTCCATTGCTTCATGTCTTTTTTGTTTCCATGTCCCTGTATGTGCATGTGTCCAAGTCTCCCATTTGTCCACTTGTCCGTCTCCTCAGGAGGGTCCAGTTCTGTCCAACAGCTGATGACTTCTACAGCACCATGGGACATTTGACTCAGGAGATGTTGGAGCAGGAGCTGGTCCACCCGGCCGATCTGATGCAGGTGAAGTGGAGGACACTGAATGTCTTCTGCGTCTCTCCTTTGTTCCTTTGAAGCTCACTGCTTGTCTTTGTTCTCCTGTTGTTCCTGCTTCAGGAAGTTTACTCCATGGCCGTGTTCCCGTTCCCACAGTTGGCCGAGCTCAGGGAGAAATACACCTACAACATCACTCCGTTCCCCACTTCTGTCAAATCCAGCCCGGGGTTTGTCCGTCTCTTCCTATTTTTTTCGGAGCCACAGTGGCCAGCAGGGGGCATCAGACAGCAGTGTCGTGATAAAGCTGTGGTTGTGGTTTCAGTGGGGGTCGGGGCAGCTGGGACAGTGACAACGACGTGGACCTGGACGATGAAGACACTGCAGTGACCGCACTGGGCTGTTTGGGGCCCCTGGGGGGGCTCCTGGCCCCCGAGCTGCAGAGATACCAGAAACATCTGAAAGGTAGTTGACGTGTGGACAGTACTGGTACCGTTGGTGTAACCGTGAGATAACCACCCTGCTTGACCTGCAGATCAGCAAACGGAGCAAGGAAACTTCACGGAGCTGAGCCCCGGAGCGGTGGGGGGGGCAGGAGGAGGCGGGGCCAAGGCGTCGGTCAACAGCATGATGATGGAGAGGATGAGCACGGACATCTGCGCCCTGACAGAGCAGTACAGCCGCATCAAGAGACGGCAGCAGCAGCAGGTCATGCAGCTCTACGTGCGAACAGGTACCTGGGGAGAACCGGGTCCAGGTCCGGGTCCGGGTCCGGGTCCAACATGTAGCCAAGGTTTAACATGGTCTTTACTCTGGGTTTATTTTGTCCTGTCTCACAGATAAATGTCCCGCGACCCGGGTCCTCACCTCGCAGCTCAACCCCCCCAGCTCCATCATCAACCACCTGCTCCTGGGTCGCAGACCACGGAGCAGAACTTCCCCGTTTGTCCCCGGACCTCAGAGTCTGGATCGCTCCTACAGGCAGCAGCGAGGACTTAACAGGACAGGGTCTCCCTGGAGGACCCATGTCCGGATCCATCGGAGGAACGTTGGCAGAGCTGGAGCAGAGCTGGTTGTCAGAGGGTCAGAGGAGGAGGAGGAGAGAAGGATCAGCAAGGGGGGCAAGGAGACGTCGCGGGGCTGAGCCCCGGAGCGGTGGGGGGGGCAGGAGGAGGCGGGGCCAAGGCGTCGGTCAACAGCATGATGATGGAGAGGATGAGCACGGACATCTGCGCCCTGACAGAGCAGTACAGCCGCATCAAGAGACGGCAGCAGCAGCAGGTCATGCAGCTCTACGTGCGAACAGGTACCTGGGGAGAACCGGGTCCAGGTCCGGGTCCGGGTCCGGGTCCGGGTCCGGGTCCGGGTCCGGGTCCGGGTCCGGGTCCGGGTCCGGGTCCGGGTCCGGGTCCGGGTCCGGGTCCGGGTCCGGGTCCGGGTCCGGGTCCGGGTCCGGGTCCGGGTCCGGGTCCGGGTCCGGGTCCGGGTCCGGGTCCGGGTCCGGGTCCGGGTCCGGGTCCGGGTCCGGGTCCGGGTCCGGGTCCGGGTCCGGGTCCGGGTCCGGGTCCGGGTCCGGGTCCGGGTCCGGGTCCGGGTCCGGGTCCGGGTCCGGGTCCGGGTCCGGGTCCGGGTCCGGGTCCGGGTCCGGGTCCGGGTCCGGGTCCGGGTCCGGGTCCGGGTCCGGGTCCGGGTCCGGGTCCGGGTCCGGGTCCGGGTCCGGGTCCGGGTCCGGGTCCGGGTCCGGGTCCGGGTCCGGGTCCGGGTCCGGGTCCGGGTCCGGGTCCGGGTCCGGGTCCGGGTCCGGGTCCGGGTCCGGGTCCGGGTCCGGGTCCGGGTCCGGGTCCGGGTCCGGGTCCGGGTCCGGGTCCGGGTCCGGGTCCGGGTCCGGGTCCGGGTCCGGGTCCGGGTCCGGGTCCGGGTCCGGGTCCGGGTCCGGGTCCGGGTCCGGGTCCGGGTCCGGGTCCGGGTCCGGGTCCGGGTCCGGGTCCGGGTCCGGGTCCGGGTCCGGGTCCGGGTCCGGGTCCGGGTCCGGGTCCGGGTCCGGGTCCGGGTCCGGGTCCGGGTCCGGGTCCGGGTCCGGGTCCGGGTCCGGGTCCGGGTCCGGGTCCGGGTCCGGGTCCGGGTCCGGGTCCGGGTCCGGGTCCGGGTCCGGGTCCGGGTCCGGGTCCGGGTCCGGGTCCGGGTCCGGGTCCGGGTCCGGGTCCGGGTCCGGGTCCGGGTCCGGGTCCGGGTCCGGGTCCGGGTCCGGGTCCGGGTCCGGGTCCGGGTCCGGGTCCGGGTCCGGGTCCGGGTCCGGGTCCGGGTCCGGGTCCGGGTCCGGGTCCGGGTCCGGGTCCGGGTCCGGGTCCGGGTCCGGGTCCGGGTCCGGGTCCGGGTCCGGGTCCGGGTCCGGGTCCGGGTCCGGGTCCGGGTCCGGGTCCGGGTCCGGGTCCGGGTCCGGGTCCGGGTCCGGGTCCGGGTCCGGGTCCGGGTCCGGGTCCGGGTCCGGGTCCGGGTCCGGGTCCGGGTCCGGGTCCGGGTCCGGGTCCGGGTCCGGGTCCGGGTCCGGGTCCGGGTCCGGGTCCGGGTCCGGGTCCGGGTCCGGGTCCGGGTCCGGGTCCGGGTCCGGGTCCGGGTCCGGGTCCGGGTCCGGGTCCGGGTCCGGGTCCGGGTCCGGGTCCGGGTCCGGGTCCGGGTCCGGGTCCGGGTCCGGGTCCGGGTCCGGGTCCGGGTCCGGGTCCGGGTCCGGGTCCGGGTCCGGGTCCGGGTCCGGGTCCGGGTCCGGGTCCGGGTCCGGGTCCGGGTCCGGGTCCGGGTCCGGGTCCGGGTCCGGGTCCGGGTCCGGGTCCGGGTCCGGGTCCGGGTCCGGGTCCGGGTCCGGGTCCGGGTCCGGGTCCGGGTCCGGGTCCGGGTCCGGGTCCGGGTCCGGGTCCGGGTCCGGGTCCGGGTCCGGGTCCGGGTCCGGGTCCGGGTCCGGGTCCGGGTCCGGGTCCGGGTCCGGGTCCGGGTCCGGGTCCGGGTCCGGGTCCGGGTCCGGGTCCGGGTCCGGGTCCGGGTCCGGGTCCGGGTCCGGGTCCGGGTCCGGGTCCGGGTCCGGGTCCGGGTCCGGGTCCGGGTCCGGGTCCGGGTCCGGGTCCGGGTCCGGGTCCGGGTCCGGGTCCGGGTCCGGGTCCGGGTCCGGGTCCGGGTCCGGGTCCGGGTCCGGGTCCGGGTCCGGGTCCGGGTCCGGGTCCAACATGTAGCCAAGGTTTAACATGGTCTTTACTCTGGGTTTATTTTGTCCTGTCTCACAGATAAATGTCCCGCGACCCGGGTCCTCACCTCGCAGCTCAACCCCCCCAGCTCCATCATCAACCACCTGCTCCTGGGTCGCAGACCACGGAGCAGAACTTCCCCGTTTGTCCCCGGACCTCAGAGTCTGGATCGCTCCTACAGGCAGCAGCGAGGACTTAACAGGACAGGGTCTCCCTGGAGGACCCATGTCCGGATCCATCGGAGGAACGTTGGCAGAGCTGGAGCAGAGCTGGTTGTCAGAGGGTCAGAGGAGGAGGAGGAGAGAAGAAACCAGGATGGAGGAGTAGAAGACGGAGAAGACAAGAGAGAGGCGGGCGAAGGAGACGTGAACATCTGTTCGTCTCCTCCTGGTTCTAACTGTGGAGATGTTTTAGAGATGGAGGTGAAACTGGACTCACTGGACCTTGAGGACAACCAGTCTTCTTCTTCTTCTCCTCCTCCTCCTCCTTCTCCTCACCTTCATCATCCTCAATCTTCAGGTTGTTCATCTCCACCACTGCTCTCCTCCTCCAGCTCCATCATCCCTTCATCCTCCTCTTCTTCTCCTGCTACCGTGTCACTTCCTGTGGACTCCTCCTCTTCACTGACTCCAGGGGGCGTCCTTCAAACATCCACTTCATCTCCTAACCCTCAGATCTTCTCCTCCTCCTCCTCCTCCTCCTCATCATCATCAAAACCACAGCAGCCGCTCTTCTCTCCCTTCCCAAGCGTCAAGCCGCCCAAAAGGTCGGCTGCAGCCCGAAACCTGGGCCTGTACGGACCCACGGCCAGAACGCCCGCCGTCCATTTCCCTCAGCTCAGCCGCCACCTGAACAACAGTGTCAGCACCACCAGGCGGCGCTGAAGACAAAAAGCAGTGCTGCAGCTTTACTCGGGTGAGTTTGTCACAGGAGTTGATTGTTTGGTTGGTGTTGTTACACTGTCCCCTGGAGGCCATTGCCGACTGTAATAAAGAAGACTACGCGTGTTTGTGTCTACGTCATTCTCTGTGTTGTGTTGAGACGAAGAAGAAATCACCACGTGACAAACGTCAGCCACCAATGAGATCAGACACACAAAAAAAACTTAATTTCAACTTAAAATTCAACACTTGAAATGTAAAACAAATGTGACCTGAAGAGGGCAGCACTACAGTGGAACCTCCATATTTAGCCTTCGTAAAGGCTAATTATATATGATAATAATATAATAACTATCGCACCTCTACTTCTCAGTGGGTCTTTGAACGCAACGACCTTGATAGGTGTCACTGTACACCGAAAAATCATCAGACGAAGCCAAAATAAATAGTTAACCTAGAAAAGATTTAACCAAAGATAAAAATCAAACAAATACAATTTGAATCAATACACAATCGTAAGAGAACGAGGATCGACAGAAATAAATGAACATTTACAAAAAGAAACCTTTACTTCAACATCTTCAACATGAACTCCTTTGATCTGCCTTTAATGTTGTTTTATCCAAAGTCACGAACCAGGATTCTGTTGAAGTGAACTCACTGGCGCCCTCATGTTTTTACAGACATTTCTGACATTTGCGGGTTAATAAAGGAGAAGTTCCTGAACATCCTCTGGTCCACGCTGTTGATCAACATTCCATCTGCACACGACAGTCGAGGGTTCTCGCTGATAAACTCTTTGTCAAAGTTGCTGTAGTCGCTGGGAGAAGCCTGTGGGGGGAGACAGACAAAAGGACTTTTAATAGACCAAAATCTACAAGGTTAACGGGAGACCACCAGGGGTCTGCTGTCATCTGTACTCACTAGAGTTGGCCTGAAGGGCGGCACCACTTGTCGTTGTTCCAGTGCACTCCAGTCAGTGCTGTGGAAGAAACTGTGGCTCCTGATGTCTCCTTTGATGCCAAGTCTTTCTTCTGGTTCACGGACCAAAAGCTGTGGTGCAGAAACACATGTGCTAATGTGCTAATGTGCTAATGTGCTAAACTTTACTGCCACGTGTCCGAAGATCAAAACACACCTTGATCAAAATGCCTTTGGCGTCTTTACTGAGGAACTCTGGGTAAACGGGGTTGTCGGTACGTATGGACTGGAACAGCTGCTCCTCGTCTCTGCCGTGAAACGGCGACTGACCAACAAGCATCTCGTAGAGAAGGACGCCAAATGACCACCAGTCCACCGACGAGTTGTATTTCTGACCCAGCAGAATCTGAGGGAAACATCCGGACTACGTTTAAAAACCAATGGGGGTTGGGGCGTGGCCCTTCTAAGGGCGTGTCCTCACCTCTGGTGCTATATAGTCAGGCGTCCCACAGAAGGTGGAAGTACTGGAATCTCTCATGTTCTCCTTGCACATTCCAAAGTCTGCTATCTTGATGTGACCTTCAGAGTCCAGCAGGACGTTGTCCAGTTTTAGGTCTCTGCAGGAGGAGCAAAGACACTGCTGAGAAACCTGGAAGGTTCTTTAAAAGGTCCTTCTGAGGCTGGAGATACCTGCCCACCTGTAGATGATTCCTTTAGCATGGAGGAACTGGAGACCACAGATGATCTCTGCTCCATAGAAGCTGTAACAGGAAACGCCACAGTTACAGCTATATCGCCCCCTGGATCCCACCTCTTAGGTACCAGACCGACCAAAGACATTGGACCTCAGAGGGTCCAAGAACCTGGACTCTGGACCTTCAAATACTTTGGCTCTTGATCATGCAAACGCGAACCACCTGTATCCTGTATTCAGAGTACCTACGTGGCTCGGTGTTGATTGAACTTGTTGCAGTTTTGGATGTGGAACATCAGGTCTCCTCCGTTGACAAACTCCATCACGAAGAACAAGTTCTCCTGAAACCAATTGCAGAGATAGATTTGGAGGTCCGCAGTGGCAACTTCAGCAGCCCATACTGAGGGTTACCTTGGTCTGGAAGGTGCAGTACAGATGTGTTAGAAACGGGTTCTCCCAGGCCAGAGAAAGAACCCGCCTCTCCACCATGGTACACTCCACGTCATCGTCCATCAGGACCACGTCCTTCTTCAGGGCCTTTATGGCGAAGAACGATCCGCATTTGTGCAGCTCTGCCAAAAACACCTGCAACCAGAGCCCTGTGTTAGAGGAAGTCTTCAAGACTGAAACCACACTTCAGATGTTCCACACGAGGACTCGCTTCTTCAACGGTACCTTTCCAAAGCTGCCTTTACCGAGCAATTTGTGCAGCACAAAGTCCTCGATGCTGAGTCTGGTTTGTTGTTCCTTCCTGGGAACAGCGTACAGCGGCTGCTCCGTGGGTTCCTCCGGCTCTCTCTGACCTCCGGTGGTGGACCAGCTAACATCTAACGGTCCCTCCCATGAGACGCCCTGAGGCTCTACAGGAACAGGAACAAAAGAGGAAGTACATAGTAACATAGGCAACGGTTTTGAGGGTGGAGGTCTACGGTCGGTACCTTTATTGGCTGATGTTGCAGCAGCAGCACCACTGGTGGCCAGAGATGTTCCCACACCTGACAGCACTCTAACTACACCCTGCTGACCGATGCCTACTGGACCTTCACGACTGATGAAGTCACAGTCCTTGGTGCTTCTGGCCTAAAACACACGTGTCAGACGTACATTAATATTAATAAATGCTTTCGTCAGGAGGTGGAACTGCTGCCTCCATCAGGTGGAGGTGCTGCTGCCTCCATCAGGTTGCTGCCTCCATCAGGTGGAGGTGGAACTGCTGCCTCCATCAGGTGGAGGTGGAGCTGCTGCCTCTATCACCAGGTCCAAATGTCAAAGTTCATTTCCTTAATTCAGATTGGCCGTCTTGGATTATGGTCAGTTGGTTCAAATGACCAATTGTGGTTTGGTGTTGTTAAAAAAAAAGAGTGAGGACCTGGACCTGGACCTGGACCTGGACCTGGACCTGGACCTGGACCTGGACCTGGACCTCTGGAGTCCTCTTTAATGTGGTCTAATCAGAAAAAGGATCAGAGTCAAAGTGGATTAGATCCAGATCTTCACCTGCTGTTTGCTTTCAATGCCGGCCAGAGCTTCGGCCATCAGCTTCTGGTTGACGCCGCAGAGATTTGCGACTTTCTTCTGACATTTGTGATGAATGTTCATGCTGCATTCTGCAAAAGAAGATCGCAAAAGAATGAAATGTGACAATGAATTTCGAGAAAACGACTGGAGGGCGGAGTTAATCTTTCCAACACAGCCGAGGCCCCCGCCCATGAACGAGTCCCACCTTCACACTTCAGGCCCTGCCGGGCCAGGCCCCACAGCAACGTTCCACAGTGTTCACAGAACGTCGGACTTTTGTAGTTGTAAACCTTGAACCTGTGGGGAACATCGATCTTAAAACGTTCCTTGTGGATCTGGAATGACATCGTGAAGACACGGCAGTCAAACGGTGACATCACACACCGTTTGATCTGTATTTTTTTAAAAATGGGCTATTAGCATGCTTAGCTTAACACTTGCTATTGTGTCGGCTCAGTATTAGCATTGTGCTAGGCTCACAAAAATGCACCCACGTGGGTTTCTTTAAGCATCAGGGGGATTATCGGCATTATCGGAGTTAACAAAGTGGCAGCTAATGTTAGCGTTACAGCTGAGGTAAGATTCACCATGGTCTCCTTGCTGTTGACGGCCGAACCCGTGCACTTTGCGATGACTTTGTCGATGCATTTCTTGTGAATGGCTGCGTTGCATTCTGACACAAAACAAACGTCACATTCAGACTTTGTCCAGATGACGTTGAGATGAAACATTAAATAAAAGTTGAAGGCGTACCTTGACACTGGTAGCCTTGTTTATTCAAACCCCTGTGGAAGAAACACAGCGTTAACAGTCCACTCCACAAATGGACCAGCTCCGTAAGCTAGGAACACACGTACCAGACAAACTCCTTACAGACAGAACAAAAGGTTGGCTGTGGGAAAAAGGTGGCGCTGAACTGGTGAGACTTTATCAGGTGAACTTTAGCCTGTTTTATCGCACCACGTCGCTGACGAAGATTGAACAAAGAATCAGCCTCTCGCTCAGTTTCCACCTTCTCGCTGTGACCTGCAGCATCTGGAACAAGGTTAACAGAGTTAACAGTCCAAGCCTAAAGCCTGGGTAACCATCATCATCATCATCGTCACCATCTTCACCATCTTCATCTTCAATAGTTTGAACTTAGTCTAATCACATCCAGAAGGTTTAAGGTTCAGTTCTCACTGCTCTTCTCAAGGAAATATCTGGCCTCCATCAGGAGTCGACCCTGAGGCTTCAGCTCCAACTGCAACAAAGAAAGAAACAGAAATCAGCTTCAAACTAGTCACCAGAACATCACTGGGAAAAGATGAAAGGAGGAGGAGAAGGAGGAGCAGGAGGAGATGACTAAGGAGCTGTGTGACTCAGGTCTAAAGTTTTGACAGATTTTATAAAACAGGAAGTGTCTAAAGGTTTGACCAGCCAGAAGTTCTAGAACCTGACGTTGGTTCTGGCCACAGTCCCTCACTGACCCAGGTTTCCAGTTTGCCGCTCTCCTTTTTACAACGAGTGGCCAGTGAGTCCAGCGCCACCATGGCCTCAGACTTAAGTTCTGCAGTCCGGTCCTTGACCATCACGTGCATGATACGTCCACGGTGCACGTGAGCATCAAAGGTGGTGCTCCAGGGGGGGTACATGGTTGGCTTCTTCTGCTTGTACACCTGACCTTTCTCTGAACACACAGACACAGTGAGTGACAAACAGGAAGTTGTTGTTGTGAGCAGTAAAGGCTCAGTTCGTGCTTTTACACCAGCAGCTAAAGACTGTTGCTAACACACACTGAACAAGGACGCTTGAAAATAATCAAACTGTTCCATGTACAGTTAGGTTACCATGACTGGATGGGTTATCGTAGCATGATAGCTGTCTGTCTGTCTGTCTGTCTGTCTGTCTGTCTGTCTGTCTGTCTGTCTGTCTGACTGTCTGTCTGTCTGTCCACTGGGGACCACTGGTACTGTCTTCAGCCTGGGCAGTGACTCTAGTCTTGGGTTGCGTCCCTGGTCCCTGGTCCCTGGTCCCTGGTCCCCCTCAGGTAATGTACGGTAGCAGGCCTACCAACCTGTTTCCACGGCCTCCTTGATGTAGATGGCACAGTAGGGGTTCAGGACCTCCTGGTGGTACGCCAGACCAGGATCCATTTCAAAGTTGGAAAAACCGATTCTGAGAAATGGAGACATTGTGGGTGGAATTGAAAAATAAAAAATAAAATTCTGCTGCTGCTGCTGCTGCTGCTGCTGCTGCTGCTGCTGCTGCTGCTGCTGCCTCCAGGACTGAAACTGAGTCTGAGGTTTCACAGGAAGCACAGGATAGAGGGGGTGGGGGTTCGATTTCTTCTGCCACTAACACTGATACAGAAATGTCAGTGCAGCAGCAGCAGATTCTTCAAACTCAGGTCTTTCTTCTCCTCAGACCAGGATTCTAAAAAAAAAAAAAAGATTTCTACAGTTAAAAATAAAATCAAACTTCAAGTCAAAAAGTCTGTTCTAAACAGTTCCAGTCCTCAGTTAGAGCTGACAGCCGTGCTGACATTTGAGGAGTGTGTGTGTGTGAGTGAGTGTGAGTGGATTCTAGAGAGGGAGAGAGGGAGAGATAGAGAGAGAGAAGGAGAGAGAGAGAGGGAGAGAGAGACAGCTGGTACTATTCTATTCTTGGGACTGAAACATTAAACAAGGCTCCTGAAAAAAACACTGCAGTGACTGCTGTCTGTGCACGTGCACGTGCACACACTGCCTTTTCTCACTGACCCTGACTCACTGCAGTTGTGTGTGTGTGTGTGTTAAACATGAAAAAGATGAAAAATGACTTAAATTCTTTAAAAATGATTCAAACATTTAAACTTGTTTATCCCGTTGATGCATTAAAAAAGATTTAATTCATCAATAAAACAATTCCTAGACAGGAAGTGGTCACAGTGTCACAGAGCAGAAACAGGAAGTCAAACTGCTGCTGCAAAAGAGAGTGTGTTTGCGCATGTGCGTGGTTCCTGATGTGCAGTGGTGTTCGTAGTTCACACCTACATAGAAACCAATTGTTATTGATGAGAGATTCGATCTTATTCAGGAAGATTCAGGAGGGAAGTGATTTTACTGAGGGTAGAAGTGTGAACGTAATGTTGTTACATTTATGAATATTCATTTGTTGATGAATAAATGGTGTAAATGAAAACGAAGAGCATCAATGTTTCAAAAGCCTAGAACAAGTGATTGTCATTACGTCATTATAATTACATATGAGATAAAATGTACTTTTTTCCACAGATTGGGTGGTTTTTTTCTTATTACTCGTCCAAACATTCCGTCTTGTTCTGAATACTTTTACACGATCTCACCGGAAACTACTCTTATTTTATTAACTGTCTCACCGGAAACAGTTTTATGTGGTTGTAAACAAAGATGGCGGCCAGTCACCAAATTGCTGCTGTTGTTTGTTTTTGTGTTATCGTGTCACTTGTTTGAAAACAAACAAACAAACACATGTGACGGATTTGTTTTGTCGAGTTTTTTTAGCCGGTCTCAGGATGAACCTGTTCCGACTCGGACCTATGGTTCTGGGCGTAAATGAAGTGACGAACATGTCGGAACTGCAGGAAGCGGAGCCCCGAGGCTGTGAGGACGGAGCTCTGACGGACCGGTTCGGTGTTCTGATCCAGGCTCTGTTGGCGGTCGTCGCCTTCAGCACCTTAATGTGTGAGTGTTCGTGACCGAACCAACGAATTAAAGATTCACAAGCACTCTTTGTTTCCCTGTATCTGAAGGACAACCAAACGTCTTCCACGTCTACAGTTAACATCGACAAACATGCGATCGATTCCTTTAAAAATCATTTTTTATTCGGTCACGCGGTTGTTTTGAGACGTTTACATCGGTTTTCAGCAGCCAGTGACCAGAAGTAAAGATTTAACAAACATGTCGTTACAAAGTCTGTGGTTGTAGCGTTTTCTAACGTTATACACAAAGACATGACGTAACATTCAGGGTTTCTACGTCATTACGATCCCCGTGACGTTATTATTACAGACTTAATTACCTTCTAATGAAAAATGTCCGTGTATGTTTTGACACTTTCATTATGACTGTGGTGTCAGTCTGTCTGACTGTGGTGTCAGTCTGTCTGACTGTGGTGTCAGTCTGTCTGATTGTGGTGTCAGTCGTAGACTGACATTGTCAGAACTTTATCAACATGTTTTTGTTACAAAGTGTTTGTTTTTCAGCAGATGGACAGGAGGAAAATGATGAGTTGGCTGACCTCAGTGTTTGACCTCTGACCTCAGTTACTGACCTCTGGTGACATTTCTATGTTTTGATGACATCAGCTCCAACATGAATCTGTTTCAGCACCACTGGACGTTCTCAGATCGTCTGAGCTTCACCTGTCGGACCTGGTCTGATGGAGTTAGTCAGTTTAGTTGGAGCTGGTCTGATGGAGCTAGTCAGTTTAGTTAGTCTAGTTGGAGCTGGTCTGCTGGAGTTAGTCAGTTTAGTTGGAGCTGGGCTGATGGGGTTAGTCAGTTTAGTTAGTCTAGTTGGAGCTGGTCTGCTGGAGTTAGTCAGTTTAGTTGGAGCTGGTCTGATGGAGCTAGTCAGTTTAGTTAGTCTAGTTGGACCTGGTCTGATGGATTTAGTTAGTTTAGTTGGACCTGGTCTGATGGAGTTAGTCAGTTAGTCTGGTTGGTTGTTTGGTTAGTTGGTAAAGAGGCACAACGAGAGCACAGGTTTGAGTGCTGACCTGGTCTGTGGTCTGTGGTGTGTTCTGGTGTCAGTGTATGTACAGTGACACACAGAACTGACAGAGGGATTGATTGATTGATTGATTGATTGATTGATTGATTGATTGATTGATTGATTATTTTCCCTGTTGTCTGTCCTTTGCAGTAAAACGATTCCGAGAACCTGCCGGGATCAGACGCCCCTGGAGAATCTGGTCGGTTACTTTTTGTGTGTCATGTTTTGTTGTGTTTTAGCATCAACACAAACAACATTAATGAAACAAATACAAATGTGTGAAGAGGCCAGTGACCAAACCAGCTTGATTCTACTTCCTGTGAAAGTGGTCCAGTTATCCTGGACGTTCATGGTTCTGTTTCCTGTCTCTCCTCAGACTTTGTGAACCAGACTGGACTTCCTGAAAAACAAATTCAAAACTTATCTTTTGTCCTGACCAGGTTTTACGACACATCAAAACAGGCCATCGGCGCCCTCTTTGTCCATTTTGCCAACGTCCTTCTGTCCACACTGACCAAACAGGACCCATGTTCTCTGTGAGTCCACGCTGACCCTGACCCTGACCCTGACCCCTGTGGAAGAGGTGTGAGCTCCCAGTTTCACCCCTTTTCTCACCCCATCTCTCATGTCCTTCACATCTGTCACAGTTATCTCATCAACTTCCTGTTGGACGCCACCTTGGGAATGTTGCTGATCTGGATCGCTGTCAAGCTGGTGTCCAAGCTGGTGGAGAGGAAACAGTGGACTCTGCTGGTCTTTGGGGAGTACGGTCAGTCGTAGACGCTGTAAAAATAAAAATACAAAAAAACGCTGGGAGAAACAGCACTGGTATCAATACCAGGTGTAGGTGGACACCAGGTGTAGGTGGACACCAGGTGTTGGTGGACACCAGGTGTAGGTGGACACCAGGTGTTGGTGGACACTTACAGTGACTCCTGCTCAGCAAGGATAAGTAAGAAGGATAAGACTCCCAACAGAAGTTAGACGGTGGTGTTTCAACCAGCAGGGGGCGGCATAGTACTAGGTACTATGTACATAGTACTCTTCATTTGCAGTAGTACAAATTGTATGCATGAATTTAAAGTACACTGAATTCACTGATAGTTTTTCTATGTTTGAATCAGTTTAAAGTTAATTCAATGAAACACTTTGTTTCATAAATTAAAAAATGATTTTTCTCGATCAGGGTTGTTTTTTAAAACTAAATCCCAACAGTGTTTGAATGTCTGTGTGTTCCAGGTCAAAAGATGAAAAAGATGAACTGTCTTTGTTGTTTTCCACTGTGTGTCGGACGTTGTCGTATTATTTTCACGTCCTTGTCAGAAATGTTTGACATCAGATCTGCTTCCTGTGCTGTGGTCAGGTGACCCTCCTGCGGCAGCGGCCTGGTTGGGTCAGTGTGGAGTTTACCTGCTAATCATGGTTCTGGAGAAAAGTGCAGTCAGTCTGGTTTTACTGGTCCCAGGATGGTCCAAAGTAAGAAGCCTTTATTTGAAGTCCTTTCATCCTTTCATCCTTTCATCCTTTCATCCTTTCATCATGACAGATCAGTGACTGGATCTTTTTCATCGATTTTTTACCTTGAAGTAAAATGATTTTCTGAAAGAGATTTTGTCTACATTTTAGCTTTCATGTCTTTGTGTGTTTTTAGAAGATTTAAAAACAATAAAAGTTTAGAATTTGACCGCACTCTTCTCTGTATTTAGTTGCAGGCGGTGATGCTAAGCTACATGGCTAACCCTCAGCTGGAGCTGGTGCTGGTGATGCTGATCGTCCCATTTATTGTCAATGTTTGTCATTTTTATACCATTTTCAAACTCTTTTTTTTTTTGTGAATGCATGTGCGGTCCTGACCTCTGTCTCTCCGGCACCCCCTACAGGCGGTGATGTTTTGGGTGGTGGACAGTCTGACCATGAGGAAGTACAAGAACCTGAAGAGTCCTGAGGAGCCTTTCATCGGTTCAGAGAAGAAGAGGAAGAAAGATGACGACGATGACGTGTCCCTGCTGAATGATGAGAATCATCATGGGGTGAGGCAGCGCCACCTGCTGGTCAAAACAATCATTCCCTGTTTATTAGGGTTATTGGTACTGTCAACAGAAAACTGTCACTGAACTTTGTGACGAGTCATTCAAGTGTGAAGTTTTTCTTCTTTTATCCCGGGAAGAAAGCTGACATTTATTGAGGAATTTTGTTCCATGTTGATGTGATGGAAAAGGGCGAGAAAACAAACGGATACTGATGGGGAAGGAGCTGTGCTGTGGGTGAGGAAGCAGAGATGATGGTTCTCCTCCTCCTTCTCATCAGCCTGCTGACCTTTGAGAGTGACCTTTACTACAACTTTTCACATGACAATATGCCGAGGAATTTTAACCCCTCACAGTCATTAACACACGTCTGAGAGTTTGTTACAGATTTGACCAAAAGAACGTTGGTCTGAACTAAAATCTCTGACGTAAAACGACTGATTCTCCTCGTCGTCTTTTCTTTTGTCTCAGGTTTTGTTGATGGTGGACACAGATGATGAAGAGGAGGCAGAACCTGATGATTTAAATTTGATCCCTGGTATAAAACCAAGCTGGGTGAAGGGTTAGCAGGTGCCCACCCCCCCACCCTCACACAGACCGGAGCGGTGGACAAACTGAGTCTGGAAATCAAACTTCATATATTTTCGTTCATATTCCAAAAATGATTTTTTATAATGTTAACTTTTATGGTGGTTAAAGGATTTACATTTATTCCAAATATTCCCATATTTAGGTTACACTAAATACACTATGACCTTACTCCATAATTATTTTAATTTATTTGTTTTTTGACTTTTTTAGAAATTGCTGTTTTTTAAACTATTCTTTGTTCAAATAAAAAAAAATTAAAACAGACAGAATTTCTGCACCTTTGTTGGAGGGGGAGGGGCTAATTTAAAGATGGGGGGTGGTCAGCAAACCTTTAACCTGTTGACAAAATAAAATGTTGAAAAAATGTTGTTAAACTAACATTTTATTAAAAAGATAAAACGGGAAAATGAAAAACTCTGGAACGGTTTAGCTGGAGTCACTGCCTGTAGGTGGCGTGGTTGCCGTCAGATATTGGACTTCCTGCTTCCACTCTCGGCTGTCGAACATGTGCGTCATGACGTAGTCCTGGTATCGGCCCTCGATCAGTTTGTGGCCGTTGTTCTTAACGAACCAACAGTCCACTTTCTCTACGCCGCCGTAGATTCTCCGACTTTTCTGGACCACAGGCACAGGACGACCTTTGACTTTCAGGACCTCACCCTGACCAGGGCGTTTGACCACGCCCACCTCCTGGTGAAGAAACTGACCTGCCAAGATGAGAGGAGAAAGTTCTCAGGTTAGTTAAGAGCTGAGCATGCTGGGAAGTGTGTGTGTGTGTGTGTGTGTGTTCTTACCCAGCAGGCCGTGGCTGTGCTCTGACAGGCCCTGACTGTTGCTGATGTAAAAACCCAGGTGGTTCTTCTGGTACGGTTCTGGATTCCTGTACCGATGTAACAGAACCACGAAGCCAATGCCCCCCCCCAGCGTCACAGTCACCTTGGTCTTTTCTACGATGGACAGAGAGAGCGCCCCCGTGGTCACCTCAGCGCTGGAGTCACACGGCAGAATGAGGCGGTCTGGACCGTCCAGAATGACCTTCTCCGGTGTCACCTGGATGTAGGTCCGCCTGGGCCGGTCCAGAACTATAGTAATGGAGCCAAAGTAGGTTCTGTGTAGTTTGTGGCTGTCGGGTGGGGGCGGAGCTCCAATCAGCTGCCCATTCACTGTCACACCTGCAGGAGCAGAGCAAACACGGGTGAGACTCCACGCAGCAGCCGCGCTCTAATTCTCACCTGTGTTCAACAGGTTCTGACCGGAGTGGCCGTTGTCGGACAGCAGACGGAGAACGTGTCCTGCTTCACCGTTGATGTTGAAACACACACTCAGTTTGCTGAGAGGAAAGTCCACCACGAAGTGAGGGTCGCCGTCGGCTGAGGTTCAAAACCAAAGAAGGATACCGTCTAAACCCAGGGGTGTCAAACTCATTTTCAACGGGGGCCACATGACCAATACAGTTCCCCTTGAAGGGCCGGTTGTAAATGTAAAATTGTATAGATCAGGGGTCCGTGGACCAGTACCGGGCCACATCATTTTCAGTCATCATTTTTACTAATTTATTCAAAGAACGTCCAGCCCAATCATGAACTTTCGTGATTTAATTTGAAAATAAAAGGTCTCAGGCTCTGGTCCAATCAGAGCAGAGTCTGATCCTTCCACGTCTGCAGTAACAGCTGTAACTGACTGACAGTAACGGTTTGACGTGTGTGTGAGACAGATGGAGCGTTTGTGTGAACTACGATGAATGACATGTAAAAGTCATGCATACAAATGCTAACATGCTAACATGCTAACATGCTAAAAAGCGTTCATCATTTTCTACGCCACCTGTTGGATATTACGGGGAAATAACGACAATATAAATGAATTAAACCGACTCGGCCTGACCCACGATCCTCAGACCTGTGAGAACCAGATGATGAAGCAGAAGAGAAATGACAGGGTGTGTGTGTGTGTGTGTGTGTGTGTGTGTGTGTGTGTTTGAAATACCAGGTGGTTTCTAATTAGAACCACTGTATGTTTTTAAACTTGTGTTTTAGTTTAAAAAATGTGTGAGGAAGGGTTAGGGTTAAATTACAGGGTGAAACCACCTGTGGACCCCCCCCACCCCAGGACCCCCC